TGAACGACTGATTATTACCTGTTATAATTAGTATAGTCGACTCGATAAACGTCGTCGATTAGTTTTCTATAACTAATGGATCGAATGAGCTAATAATGTCACATGACTAATTGAACCTTGTCACTGACTGAATGCCCAGCATTGTCTGAAATAAGTTTGTTTGCATTGCAAAAATGACTGAAAAGGTTCAGTCCAGGGTAGTCCTGAATTTGAACTTTCACGAGTTCAAAATACCCTGATGATGCAATGGGCAGGGCAGTAATAATCAAGGTTAAGCAGGGGTATTCTGGGGTGTTAAAAAGAACAGAAGTAATTAGTTTAAGTGAGCTGACAAATGGGGTACTGAATTAGGATTAAATTAATGCCAATGGGGGACCAGACCTAAGAGTATGGGAATTAATTGAATACTTAACTAAACCCATAACCCTTGATTAGAGTAATAAGACAGGGCATGGGGGCTGATTAAGGATTCCAAGAAAGATGCTTTTAGGCATGGGGAGTTAAGGGGTATGGGCAGTCTACAAATGGCAGAATCCAGGCAGCTCGACTGCACTGGTCGTTTGGCTTATAAATAGGCCATTTCAGAACTCAAAAGGGGCTGGAATTTTTAGTCTTGAGAGAGGTCTTGTGAGTTTAAAGAAAAAGACTGAAAACATAAGAAATTTCCAGTGAACACTGTAACCAAACACTGTCTGAAAGCTATATAAGAATCCATATTGGTCAAGCTGTCTTGGCCAAGTTATGTTATTTGCACTGACTGAGTTGCTTGTGATTGTTGAACTGTTGGTGTTGCTGTATTGAACACTCTTTTACTTCTGGTGTTTCATTACTCTTTTTTTCTGGGATTACTTGTTTGGTGCTCGACCCTCTGTTGGTTCTCTTTGTTCTGGAAACTATTGTTGTTTGTCTGTGGATTGTGGAGAACATTTGTGGGTGTTGGTCTGCTGCTGTGTTGTTGCTGTTTGGTTGTTGTTGTTGTTGCTTGTTGCATACTACTCAACTGATTACTCTCTTTCTTCCTTTCCTTTCCTTACCAGGTACACGATTAATACCACCAATGTAATTTGAAAGTTTGAGCATGAATGCAAAAGAGAAGACCTGCAGATTGTTTTTATATATACATGGATTGTTGTATTAAATGTCATGTAGTATATAATAGTTACATTTTCGTTTGGACAATAGAAGTAGCCCACATGCTTAGTATATCAAGTAGGTTAGTGAATGCTAGTTCATATATGTATGCTGTTAGATGAAAATATTCCCAAGGCAGTAGGTTGTATCTCATATTTAGTTCAATGGTGTAGTATAAGCCTGTAATGTATGCCAAGCATGACAATCGTACACTACTAGTTAAGTTCTTTCCTTTCTGATAAATTGTCATACATAACTGTTAAACCATGATTTAAGAAAAAAACTGGGTTTGCAATCTCAACCCCACGAAGGTCGAGCCTGGGGTTAAAACAGACCCAGCAGGCCTGCCCCGGACAAACAATGGCCCAGGTCTGGCCCATCACGCGTGGGCTGGATTTGGGCCTTTAATTTCGATCGG